GTCATAAACTACCAACAAGACATTGTTTGGCTTTCGCCAACGAAACGCCAAGGCTCTGGAATCCTGAATCTCTGGAGCTGGAAGATATTCTATAGATATCACAATGCGCATTAGGCTGGTGCTGGTGTTCTGGTAGAACCCAACCTTGCCAATAGAATTATTGATTGGAAGTCTGTCAGCCTAACGTTCCTAATCCTTCGATTGAAACTACAGCAGGCTAAAGCGATGACCTTAGTACAGGTCTATGCGCCCAATTTACAGGGAGAATACTAGACCTTCCTTGTGGAAATGCAGGGTGCTCTGTCCGAAGTGCCAAATACAGAGTCCCTCACACTCATAGGCGATTTTAATGCGCATGTCGGAATAAACGCTGAAAAGTGGAACTGCGCAATTGGAAAAAACGGCCCTAGCGACCTCAGCAATTACGGTATGAAGATGTTGCGGTTTTGTCCAAACAGCGGACAGTCCATTATGAACACGTTCTTCGAGCATCAAAAAGTGCATCAGTACACCTGGTACCGGAAAGCTTCTGCACAAAAGTCTATGATCGATCTGACACTTATGACGCTCAGTAATGGATGTTCCCTTTAAGAGAGGCGCAGAGCTAGCAACTGATCAACACCCTGCTGCTGGCACGCAGCGCTACAAGAAACGGACTACCAAACGAAGACCTGCTGGCAAAAGCAACCAAAGAATCAAATGGGAAACACTTTCTTCGGTGGACACGAGAGCAAAATTTGCAAACATCGCACGACTGTTTCAACAGATCCCAGTGATGACAGCCGATGTGGAAACCAAATGGCAGCTCTATAAAAGCGGCATACCTGAGGCTGCCACCGAATGTTGCGGGGATAAACGGGTTAGCATGCCGCCTGTAGGTCAGCAAAGATGTTTATAGTGCACACTAGAGATACAACTGGCAGTTAAAGAGAAGAAAGCACCGTTCAAGAAATGGCTTGAAAACAAAAAGCCTTCTACTCGCGTGAGATATGTCGAGGTACGCAAGCCGGTACGGCAGCCAAAGCAGTGACAAAAGCCAAAGCTGATTCATGGGAGAAGTAGGTGAGTCGAATTTTCACACAGCAAACAAAGTATTCTGGCAGACCATCCCCCTGCTCCGAGGTGAAATAAAGGACAGTCTCAGAGTCTCGAAGGACAAGTCTGGACACCCTGTTACCAAGGATGATGACATTACTCGGCGATGGAGCGAGTACTTTGAGAAACTACTTAACCCCGCGCAACAGCAGGAACATGCGCTTGAAGAGCAGAAGGGTACGGATATTACTATCTCTGTAGATGAAATTA